CGTCGTCTCTAACACACTGTTTGTATGCCAATATTGTGGGCATACTGATAGCAAGTCTGATCGTGTTAGACAACACCGGTATTATTGCACCGGTTAGTGAGAAGAGAGAAAACAGAATCGTCGTGGCATATTTCCCTGTGGTGATTGCGATTTGGTATTATCCGTGCAAAGTTCGCTCCGATCCTATTATTCTAGCAAGCATAAGCAAACACTTAATATTTTTTAAATATATTTATTCAATTCTACGTTGTAATTGAAGTTTATTCGTGTTTGATTTGCTTCGACTTTGATAAAACAAAAAAGGACCCTGACAAATATACTTATTCTTTAAACAGTTATATTTTATGTTTTCAAGTAATGTGTTCAAGTACTTAACAAAAGACTTGAACTATTAACTCATAACCTGCGTTTTTAATTTGATACGTCAAATTGAAGCTGTTTTATTTGTCGCTGAAGTAGGATCGTGCTCGATTTGCATTAATTTCAAATTAACACAAGTGTGTAAAGATACTATCTTCCTATAATGCTATTATTTGATACTTTCAAATAATGGTTTCAAAGTATATAATTTCAAAGTATATAAAATATGGGTTCATTCCTGCGTATCCCCAACTCCGTGTAGGAGAGTAGTGTTCGTGACATTCTTCACCATGGGCATTTTGTGGATGTGATTGCTGATTGTGTGCTGTATCCGTGCTTTGAGTTTCGAGTATCGTCGGATCTGGTGGTAGGGTGGTTGTCGGCTGCAATGTGGGATCGTTCATCTCTACAGGCTCGAAGTATACTAGACTCTAGCAATGCCATTGACACCATGGTTTCCCTCGCGAATATTGGTCCTGGGTCTCTTATTTCGTTTCGCTCTAGCAGGCAGAGGATCTAGGATGCGAGTGGCAGCTAATTGATCTTGGTCGGGGTTATGTTGGAACCACCAGTGCTTGTCAAAGTGGGATGGCATTAGATATAGGCGCCCTTCAGATTCTATAATATGCGCCAGATCGTGGACACACGGACGCCCGTGTACTACATGGAACACACCAATGCAGTCCGTAGGTGGTCCACCCTCTACAATCCTCTTGCGGGCCTCTGACCAAAGCTATTCAGTCTTGTACAAAGCCCAATTTGTTATGACTTTCGCACATGCTGAAAATTCGTTGAACTGCAACTTACAAGGCACAATCGTTTCGTTTCGGCTGGCGATTGCTCTCGTCCGGGATGCCGAAGACACTTACCAAGGTAGGAGCTTGTTGAATACTGTAAATAAGTCGCCTCGAGTTGATTTGACCCAGCGCTTGCACTGCGCATGAGTTCCT